TTAACATCAAGATAGCCAAACTGGAAAAGCAATGCTTGCAGTTCAGCTACTCTGGCCTCAAAATTGAAATTCACTTTCAATTCTCTTTGAATTCTGTTTAGGTAAATGACCCTGTATGTACCCAACCATAATAAAATACAAAAACAAAATAGTGTGGTATGGCCCAGAATGGAATAATTGGCAGGCATGTAGTCTTTGCTATGTGATTTTGTAAAAAGACTTTATTTGCAGAAGGATGAGAAAAATAAATATATAATTTTTTTTTTTTTAATTGCTATTTTCCTCCCCACCCCATGATTTTCCAGATTATACAAGAAATGTAAAAGTGAAGGTATGCATCTTAAAGTTTTTGGCTTTTGCATCTTAAAATCTTTGGCTTTGCTGAAAACTGAAAGCAGGAGCAAGAACAAGGATATCATGTAAGTAAGGATATTATGGCACTAGAAAAAGTGCAGAGGCAGGCTACAAAATTAATACAAGGAATGGAACATTTTAGCTATGAAGAAAGGTTAACACATTTAAATTGCTTTAGTTTGGAAAAATTTCACCTTAGACGGGGTATGATAACATTATACAAATATAATCGGGGCCAATACAAACCATTGTCTAGAAATCTATTCATATACAGTACTATACATAGGACACAAGAACATGCATTTAGACTGGAAGAAAGGAGATTTAGTCTAAGGCAAAGGAAAGTTTTTTTACAGTAAGAACAATAAGGATGTGGAATTCCCTCGCCTGAAGAGGTGCTTCTATACAGATTATTAAACCGCAATTGGATAAGTTCTTGCAAAAACATAATATTTAGGTATATAATGTTTAATTAGTGGGTAATAGCTTTATGATCCAATGAGATATCTGACTGCCATTTTGGGCTCAAGAAGGATTTTTTTCCTTGTTTGTTGCAAAATTGGAAGCGCTTCAGACTGGGTTTTTGCCTTCTTTTGGATCAACAGCAAAAACATTTGTGAGGAAGACTGAACTTGATGGACGCAAGTCTCTTTTCAGCTATGTAACTATGTTACTAGGTAGCTATGTATTTAAGTAATGTAAAATTCTAAGATGATTTATAAAAATTAAAAATAAAGCAATGGTCCATTAGTACTAGATAGAGTGCCTTTATAAGGTGTCATTTGATGTGAAAACTAGGCTTAGAAAGTAGTTAAAAACACTAATAAAAACTACTATGTTAGCTGTACTTCTGGGGAAACAGGAAGTGTCATGGCCATCATTTTGGAATCTGGCGCCGGACAGTGAAGCATCTAGAATACGTGCAGGGAATTTCTAATGCAGTGCATAGTAATAGGGGAGGAGATTTAGAGTGGGAGAACAAACCTATTATTAAATGTAAATTGCCAAAAATCATCAAAAACCTGTATTGTGAATTCAGAAAATAGGAAGTGCTGCAGCCACCATTTTGGAATAGGGTTCTGGGCTAAATCATTCATGGCAATGGTGTTCCCTGATGTCAGTGGCCTCTTTCAGCAGGAAAATGCATCCTGCCATGCTGCAAAAATTGTTCACAAATGGTTTGAGGAACATGACAGGTTTAAGGAACATGACAAAGTATTTAAAGTGCTGTCTTGGCCTTCAAATTCCCCAGATCTCAAACAGATTGAGCATCTGTGGGATGTCCTGAAACAACAGATCCGATCCATGGAGCCCCACCTCGCAACTTGCAGGACTTAAAGGATCTGCTGCCAATGTCTTGGTGCCAGATACCACAAGACATGTTTAGCGGTCTTTTGAAGTCCACGCCTCAAAGCATCACAGCTGTTTTGATAGCACGAGGGGGACCTACACGATGTTAGGCAGTTGGTTTTAATGTTGTGGCTGATCTGTGTATAAGAGATGCGTTATAGTTCCTGGTGTATTTGCAATGCACTTGTGAATAAGTCAATGGGTGAAACATTCTTTATCCACGGGAAAGTGGTATTAATGTTTTCTGGAAAATGTTATGGACAGTGGGTCATAAGAGAAAGTTTTTGCCTTTTATAAAATGTTTTGGATTTATAAGCGTGCTCTTTCTGGCAAGTCTGCAATGGTTTGGCTTTTCTATCATAAAACTACATTTTCTAAAAAAAATTATAAATAAAAACTATGCAAGATGAACAATTCTCCAACTCCAATTTCCCTACATTTCTCACTTAGCAAATTACAATGTATTAGTATACTTCTCAAACACATTTGGACATTATAGATGTGTGAAGAATCATGTCGCAAATGGTAGCTCACAGTACATCTTCATTTAGTAATTATCCCCCCCAATATTGTGTTATTCAACCCTCTATCTGTAACTGATGCAACATGTTCAGGAGTATAGTGCACATTTCAATTAAAGTGTGAATTAAAAATATGTCTTCCGTTTATCTTTTTGTTATTAAATACATGTGTTTGATCCATTTTAGAACTATTTTTCACTACCTCATGCTCTTATGCAGTAAGCTGTTTGCAATTATCTATGAGAAACATCAAAGTTGTTTTAACGTTCAATATGGTAGTTCTATGTTGGTTACTTTTATGCCTACATATGTGTTAAATCTTCAAATGTATTACTTAAAACCTAGGAAAATGCTATTTTTTTTCTCAGAAATATTTTTATACTTTCCAGTGCTTCCTGCCAGACCTCCTTTAATTATAATCAAAACCACCAAACAGATTGTTCCTTTTCATACAATTATTGTCACCTGATATTTACTAATGTTAATTTTTATAACTATGTCTTTAAAAGAAACTTATCAGTCAAATAACAATAGTAAATGGTACATGAAGACAATTTTCTCATTTTTAATTTTTTATTTTTTTTATCATCATCTGTACGTGAAATACTATTTGTCCCATAAAGGCAAACACCATGATGTTAGAAATTATGTAAAAATCATAAATTGAATTATTGTAAAAAGTAGACATCATGTGATGTTATGATGGGAGGCACTGAAACTTTAATTGGTGGTTGTCTTGTGCCTTTTGTGTGGGCTTTATTTCTCTAGTGTAAGCAGTTTAGCCAGCAAAAAAAAAAAAAATGCATTCATGGTATTGCTGTAAGGAATGTAAACAGGATCTTCGATCCAAATCTACTCAAAATGCTTTGTGGTATTTACAGGATTTAAGCTTGTAGAATAACATCTAATTAAATTTAAAATGGCACAGGGGCAATATTCCCCTTCAAGAACAGTCTCATAAAATGCATATCTCTGAAGTGTCCTAGTTTTAGAAGGGACAGTCTCTATTTTAGACCCAGATCACTCTGTCCCTTTTTCTTCCTAATGTCCCTCTTTTCTAGGTGCTCCGTATTGTTGGTGTGTCTGAGTGCATAACAGAGCTCCACAGTAATTAAACGTGTTTAAATATGTCTGTGTTAATAAGATATTAATAAAATATCATTTTAGTTTTATAAATTGTTATTAGTAAGTCACCTAGTATTATTGTCACCTAGTAAGTCACCTCAGAACAGTCCCGCCCCTTGCCACACACTCAACTCACAATTAATGTGTCCCTTTTTGTCCATTTGAAGTATTGGGAGGTATGAACATGTACTAATGAGTCTAAATTAAATAAAATAAGTATATTAATAGAATTGGATAAAAATTCTTAAAGTGTATTTCCTATCATTCTTTAACAGTAAAACATATGATCTTAAAATTTCCACCATATTTTCTTTGGGGATTCGTCCCTCCTCCCCCCATCAACCATGGTTCTATCATTATCTTTTGTGTAATTTTACCCCATTTTTTTCAGATTGGAAGTTTATTTGACTTGCATTCCGTTCTAGTTCCTGCAAGTCAAATTGAGTCAAATTTATTTGTATGTCCTATAAACTCACTGGACAGCTTGGTGTAAATCAAAACTTCTTTCATATAAATGTCTTTATGGACCTTTTCCATTTGTGCAATAGAAAACCGCAAGGCTATAAGTTTAATCAAATTTTATTAAAGGACACAGAGGCTCATATTATGCTTAATCTCTTTCTTTATTCCTCAGCAGCAAAGAAAGGATATTGTAAATATATTCAAAGAAAAAAAAACACATATAGCATGTTATCCAATGGGATTGTTTCTAGCACAATAAGGTCCCATGTGACCTTAAGCCACCCCTCTTTCTTTGCTGCTGCCTCCTCAGCTAAGTACAATTTTTCCTATCTCCTATTTTGAGCAATTTCTAATTACTGTATTTCTTTATAGTATATTACTACCTTCTTTCCACAGTTTTTTTCCACATTTATTGGTCTCCTTATAGGAGCATTGTTGCTCCTTCCTTTCTCCCTCCCTGCAACTTCCCATCTCCCCTCAGTTATCTGGTCGGTTTCTTTATTTTCCGACCGTTTTTGTTTCCCATGCACTTTATTGTAGCCTCAGGTTTGAGGCACCTTCCTTATACCGTGTACCATTCTTTCCGCGGTCCCGGCGGCTCACGGCCTTGGGCATGGCCGGTGCCGCTCACCCAAGCGCACATCACAAGTGTGCATCGCCGCGGCCTTCTTGGGGTTGGCGGCCAATAGCGCTCATTTGGGGGCGGGATTAAGCCGATTGGATGACTGGGTTGCTGGGCAGCTTACCAGTACTCCCCAGGAGTTCCTTACTGAGGGAACACTTGGTGAGCTTGCTTTGTTTACACTGTCCATTAGTTGTTTTTTATAAATCTGTGCCTGGTATGCTTACCCTTTCCACTGCACTCCCCACTGCTGCTACTGTGTAGGACCTCCCTAATCTGTGATCCTTATAGTTCCTGGCCCTCCTATAGGCTATTTTTCTGTTTACACTATAATTACTGTGCCATGCAGTCAGATATAGAGGTGGAAGCTTCCGCTACTGGCTCTTCCACCAGTGCCACCAAAACCCTTACACCCCTAACCCCAGGCCACCCACATTAGATGAAGCATCACAGGAGTAAATGAACTCTGAGGAGTTTCATTCACTCTTAGACGCTACAATGGCTAATTCTGTGATGCAAGCCATCTTTACCGCCAGGGGGGCCATGTCAGATAATCTGTCCCACTCTATCACTCATGCACTTATGTCCACCCAACATCAATCTACTCTCATTTCTAAACCCCCAGAGAGAGTAGACAGTAGGCATAAATCTGCCAAAAAATCTCCATTTGGACGAGGATGCTTCCAAAAATTTACAGACGGACAGGGTACATCCTGTCACAAAGGATGTGGTTGCACCACAACTAAGAGCCCCTCACCGGGCAAAATCAGCAAGGATCTGGAAGAGGGCAAAAGCCCTAATCGAATCTTCCGAATCTAAGTCGGAACAAGAGGAGTCACTGAGCGAGTCCAATTAGGAGGACTCCTATGTTTTCCAGTGTTTATTTTCCTGAGCACGGCTCCTTGCCCATACCTGGAGATGACCCTAAGGATGGAGTAGATGGCTCCAACCTTATTGACCCTGAGTGCGAACCGCTATTTGACTCGGATACCCTGCAGCATCCGAGATCCTCAGAGTGGTACCCCCTAGATCGCATGGCAAAATACACCACCGCTCGCATTAGCAAACCACTTGACAAGCAGAGCTTGCCCCTGACGTGAACCCCAAAATCGCCAAATTATGGGGCACATCAGGTTGGAAGACCAAGAAAGGCCTTGATTGTTCCTTGCGGAACTGCCAGGATAAAATCCTAGATATCCTTGGGCCGAGTGCGAAAATATTCAACATGGTCTAAACAGCATTGACAGGTGGTACACCTGCAGATTTGTTAGCCATCAGGGGGAGGATCCAGCAATCAGTATGTTTGCTGGGCAATGCCAACATGGCACTTGCCACTGACAGACATAAGGCAATTTGAATAAAACCTGGTAAACCTAGCTATCTCAGAGCCTGGCCCAAAGGCAAAAGGCCTCCTGTTTGGCGATAACTGTGTGAAAGAGTTGGGCACATATATAGGAAAATTTACTGCACTTGACAAGGCGCAAGCCAACATGAAACAAGTGTTCTCCCAGAGAGTTTTTTGACGGGGACGGCAGATATTAGGGTCATCTGCCCATCCTATTATCCTGGTGTTCATACTGGGCTTCTCGAGGCTCCATCCACTCCAGGTTTCTAGCGCCTGAGTTCAAGTCCGCCTCACCGTTCTTGCCAGTTAGAGGCAGGCCTTTGCAGTCTCGTGAACCCAGAGGTTCTTCCTCTGGCCGACGGCCTTATGGTAAGTTTAATTCCATACCATCTGTCTTCAATAACAATGGTGGGCGGCAGACTGTGTAATTTTGTTGATGCCTGGCGCAGGCTCACTGTATGTGTATATGTATATGTGCAGACAAACACACGTCTAAATTAAAACACCATTATATCAACAAACCCCTGCATTCAAAAAACAACACTACGCACAAATGCATGCCTGCTTTCAAATGCCAGCACTACATGCAAACACACCAGTACATACTCCATAGAAAAACATGCCTCATTCAAACACAAACACTTCTCTGTGCTAAATACAACCCTGCAAAGATGGACCATTCATTCTGAAGCAAAGTAAAATGGGAACTGTCACTACTTTGGAATTTACAACACAGTGTAAAGCTTTGAAAATCATCTGTAACTCGTGTTAACCATTTTTTCATGAGATGCTCCATTTTCTTTAAAATTTATAGTGAAAACACCCAAAGGCTCTAAAATCCATAACCCACAGGACATTAATGACACCATGGCAAACTACTACCACACACTATACAGTCCTAAAGATGACCCAAACCTACACCAACCCACACACCAGGAAATCCAAAGCTTCATCCAACTGTCCTCACTGCCAACACTGACAGAGCAACAGAAAACCATATTGCAAGACCCAGTAACACAGGAGGAAATACAACAAGCCATACACTCACTCCCCCATGGAAAATCACCAGGACCTGACGGATTCACAAACTCCTACTATAAAACGTTAACCACAAAGCTCACCCTACATCTAGAAAAAGCCTTTAACTATATCCTCACAATGGACCAAATTCTCCAGGACATGCTCATGGCACACGTAGCCACCTTGCCGAAACCAGGCAAACCCCCTACGAAATGCCAAAACCTTAGACCAATTTCCCTCCTTAACACGGACATCAAACTGCTAGCAAAAATTTTCTCCAACAGACTAACGAACATTATTCCAACCCTAATACATGAGGACCAGGTGGGATTCGTCAGTGGCAGGCAGGGGGTGGATTGGACCCGAAAGGTTTTAGACCTGTTGCAAGGGGGGTGCGGGGGAAGGGCCCAGTGCGTCATTTTATCACTTGATGCTGAGAAAGCCTTTGACAGACTGCACTGGCCCTTCCTCCGGGCAGTCCTGATCAAATATGGATTCTCGGACGTCTTCTTAAGACTGGTGGGAGCGCTGTACTCCAAGCCGACAGCGAAAGTCACAAACGGGGGATTCAGCTCAAAACAATTCGAAATAACCAACGGGTCGAGACAGGGCTGCCCACTATCACCTCTCCTTTACATTTTATCTCTAGAACCACTCACACAACTCATTAGGGACAATCCGGACATACATGGCATCACAAGACAAGGCAAGGAACATAAACTCACACTATTCGCAGATGACGTTCTCCTAACACTAGAACAGCCACATATATCCCTACCTAACTTTCATAATACGCTCTCCCAATATAGCAAATGCTCTCACTATAAACTCTATGTTAATAAAACTCAGGCAATGGGTATAAACATCCCAGCCGAGGATATGAGCAGGCTGAGCGCCTCTTTCAAATACGATTGGCGCAATGACCACCTCAAATTCTTAGGATTCAATATCACCCCAACCGCAGCAAATCTCTACAAAACAAACTACCAAAAAACACTGTCCGAAATAAAAAACTTACTGCTAGGATGGAAAGGTAAATTTATATCCTGGTCTGGAAGAATAGCCGCAGTCAAAATGATAGTCATACCAAAACTGCAATACCTATTCAGAACATTACCCATAAAAATACCACCCAAATTCCTACAAGACGCGCAACAAACACTGCTTAACTTTATCTGGGACAAACATAAAGCGCGAGTGGTGAAGAGCACACTTTACATGCCACGCAAGAAAGGGGGTATGGGAGTACCCAACCTAGACAGCTATTACAGAGCAGCCATATTAAGTCCCTTATTAGCGGCGTGCCACCGGGACAACCCAACACAATGGATGGAACTGGAGACACAACACGCTAACAATATACCCATTACTATACTGGCATGGCTCCCTCGACACAGCAGGCCAGCAACAAACGAACTGCTCCCAACCACAGCTCTAACTCTGTCCATATGGGACAAATACTGCCGCACATTAGGCTGGTCGGGCAAAATATCGCCCGCCACCCCTATAAAAGCATTACACTATATGATACCAAACTTTAATTACACTCTGTGGCACCGACATGGGGTAACACACCTACACCAACTACTGGAGGAACATACACTTAGAAGCCTCACGGATCTAACAACCTCTTACCACTTGACCCCGATGGCCTCATTCTCTTATATGCAATTACACTCATGGTTCAGCAAGCAAACCTTGAATAGGATGGATAATGTACAAGGGCAACAGCTGATGGTGGTAGAAAAAATTTGCTCACGCCTATCAACCCCCAAAAAACTTATATCCGAACTATATCGAACGATGCACACTCAAAAAGACCACACAAAATTATCATTCATTGCAGGATGGGAGAAGGAATTCACATATACTCTCGATGCGCAGCAATGGAATAAAATCCTACTTGCACATAACTCACTCTCCAAATGCGCCTCCTACATGGAACTATCCCGAAAAATCTTATACCGATGGTACCTAGTGCCTACATGTATAAAAGCAACATACCCACAAGCATCCGATATCTGTTGGAGATGCCAACAACACAAAGGCATAATGCTCCATGTATGGTGGAACTGCCCCTCCCTAACAAACTACTGGGATGACATAACTACCATAATACAAGACAGCACAAAAATGCTTCTACCCCGCAAGCCAGAAACGTACCTCCTCCAGCTCTTCCCAAAGGGAATGCAGGGTAGCCAGAAATATTTAACTTACCACATACTAATGGCGGCACTAACAGTCATTAGTAGACACTGGAAATCTACTATCCCGCCCACAATAACAGAATGTATACAGATGATAGAAACAACTAAGCTTTATGAACAGGCAACCAGACGATCAAGTCACTCCAAAAAAATCTGGTCACAAGCCTGGGAAAACTGGCAGTCGTACATGGAGCGTAACACTGTGCCTTCAAAATAAGACACTGGGCCCTCAAAATAAGAGGCTGTGGCAAAGACCTACAGACCGACAGCTGTGCCCTTTTAGACAATGAAAAATGTAATCGAAAACAAAAGTGTAAATAATGTTAATAACGCAGTAAATAAAAATAACACACAGTTGAAAAAACAAATGCTCAACAGAAGCAACCATTAGAAGCCGAACGCCTGGGAGAATCCTACCACCCCCCCTTACATCTACACCTCATCTCCCTCTGTGCCCCCTACCCCCTAAACCCATCCCATCTCCTCTGTTTCCCCCCACCCCCTTCCAGTGGTACATGAAATACTAATACTTTGCACCGTCTACCAAAGAAAAAACCAGGTGACTGTGCACTCCGAAAGTCGAACGTGAGTCCTCCCCATGGTAGAAAAATGACCAAACCGCTAGATGAACCTAGAGAAACACAAAGCATGCACACAAAAAAGTTATATATAAAAATGTTGTATATGAATAATGCGCAAATGGTATGCATGTCAATGTATAAGACGATACTTACCTTACCACTGTTCCCCATCCCCTTTCTATTCTGTACCCTTGTAAAACTGAAATAAAAATTGTCGAAGTAAAAAAAAAAAAAATACAATCAATAACATTATATTCGACAGTCAACTAAAAAAAAAAAATTTATAGTGAAGATTTTGCAAATTACATAATAACATCATCCAGTTCAGACAAGGCAAAATCAAGGTAATCATTGATGATGAAGAGGAGAAATAGACACAGTGTTTAATTTCTCTCTTTCTTTGCTTTTTCTATGGTGACTGCCAGGTGCAAAGAGCTGAGCTTATAATAACGATTAACGCAGAGCAAAGATGAAGATATCCAACTGCAGAATCAATGTTGCTTTTCACATCTCACAAATACATATTTTTCAAATGCAGTTGTGCTCAAAAGTGTGCATACCCTTGGAGAATTTACAATATATGTACTATTTTTAAAGAAAACATGAGTGAGCAG